CGTGATCTATTGTGATTTTGTTATTGGGTTAATTCTATTGTGATTTTGTTATTGGGTTAATTTTTATGCAATGGAGGTTTTTGATGAATTCCCCTCCATTCATCAAATGGAGGGGTACAAAAAGGAAAGCCAAATCATTATGTTGTTGTTTTCAATGGAAAGAACCACAGAGTCCTCGGAGACATAAAAAATATTTACTCCTCTTTCAAGGTTTGGGTTGTCTTTCCTTAAATTCCAATTTAAATATATAGATATGTTTTATTCAAGGATCTTGTGCTTATATTTTGAATCTTTTGATATACTAATCAATATATCAAAAATCTTTTGATATACCAATCTTTTGACATACCAACATGTGCTTTGCACGAGTAAGTACTAGTTGCTAAAATGGGAAAAACTTTTTTAAGCCCAAAATTCAGCCATTAGTTATCAACAAAAATTTCAACTTTTAGCCGTTAGAGCATGTTTGGCTACTTGATTTGGATTATAATACATTTCTTTAGTTATAATTTCATTTTGAATGGTTTAACCATTTTTAATGGATTGTTTTGCAGTAAATCCACCAAAAAATAAAAGATGAATGGCAGAGAAGGATCATCCATTTTACCTCTTTCTTATTTTTCCTTTCTCTCTTCCCTCAATTTTAAAGGTTATGTTTGTCATTTTAACAAAAAAGACAAATAGATTATAAACCACGTTCTTTATCAAATGCCAAAACTTTCGATCTGTATGTGTTTATAATATATCGTGGATTATAACCCAGGAATATCAAGCAAAAAGCTTAAGGCAAGTTTGTCAACTTTATAAAATTAGGTCTGGTTTAAACATTGTCTAGTTAAAAAAAATATTCTCTTTGATTGGAAAAAAATTAGGTCATGCGGTTGAGTGCATATTAGTTCTATTTTAGGCTTCTAAGCCAATTTAGTTGTGGACTGGTGAAATTGCTCTGCAACTAAACTGGTTATAGCCAAAAGCTAAATCGAGGGTAAAACTTGGCTCGTTTTTAATGAGTGACCAAATATGATTAAGGATTCTATCAGAATACTGCATAGAATAAGATGATCTGTATTATTCACAAATAACAAGAGGGTTAATTTTTGTTGATATTAGTTATCAAACAAGGGGTAATCTAAGAGTTTTTAGAGTGATTAGGGTCCTCTAAGTCTTCCTGATGAATGATTCTAGGGCTTGTTGTTCTTCCCTGTACACGAAAGAACTCGTAAGAGTACGGATTTAGGTTCTCCCGTTGTTCCTCCAACGATCAAGTCAATAGATGATCTTGAGTGGGGAAATATAGAGTTAGCTATTAGTTGCGTAAAAAAGGTCAGAGAAAGTTACCTCATGCAGTGCCGCTCCTTTATAGTGGATCTTAGAGGCAAGAAGATCTTGAGTTGAGTCCAGCTAGGCAGCTGAGTTGGCAGATAGCTGATAGGTGTCGGTAGCTAATGGGTCATTCAGGTGGTTAGTGCCATGCGACAGCAGCTGCTTGGTTCTTGGAGCTGACGGAGCCTGATAAGTCATAAAGACTTTGTGAACTGGAGCAATAATGACTTTGTCAGAGCAGTTAATGCAAGGGCAGGCAGCTGTCGACGCAAGGTTTAAGAAAACTACCACCTCTCCAGTTGTCCAGCTAATGGCCAACTACACATGTTGATGGCTAATATAACAGGCCGAATGGGGGTTATTCGCAAGGGTAATTGCTTGGGTTGGATGATAAATACCACCTTTTGACTCGGTTACGCGAGATGTCAGTTGAACAGTGGGCTAAGTCGGGTCGCTTGTGGAATCAATTGAGGGGTTGGCCAATTAGTACCGCCTTTTGAATCGGTTATGCGAGATGGCGGCTGAACAATGGACCGAGTTGAGGCAGAGATTATCTTGGTCTTGAATTAGTCAGGTTAGGTATAGTGTTAGACGCGTGTCAACTTCTCTGTGGAGATTAATATTTAGTATTTTTTAGAGGTATAACAGTTTGAAAATTATAATTATTTTATCTATAGTGTAAATCACTCTCCTCACATAAAGATGGTTTTGATAGGATTCAAACACACCCTTGTACTTGTGAACACACCCATATTTTATCTGAATAAACTATTTTATTAACTTTTTTATTATAAACAAACTATTTTATTAATTTATAATTTGATTAAAAACATAATGAGGAGATAGTTACTAATTTATCTATCCTATCTCACCTCCTCTCTATCTAATTATAAAATAATAATATCAATTAAAATAACCAAAAATATACTAGTCACACTAAAAAGTAAGGAACAGAGAAGGGAGGGGGAGAAACCAATGTGTGTGATCTGCAATAAACATGCAAATATCTAGATTTGGAGAGTAAACCCGTAAATATAATAGATGTAGGGGATATGTAGGCAAACACCCCGATAATTTTTACATGTTGGCTTTGCGATCAAAACCCACTAGAGAAATTCTCACTCTCATCGAGATGGCCCTGGGATCAAAACCCACAAGAGTAATTCTCGCTCACATCGAGAAGGGTTGAGGGGTTTATGGTTTATCTCCATGGCGATCTCCTCCAATCAATCCCCCGCCAGTGATCTTACCCTCAACATCCAAGACCTCAATCTCAATCCCCCACAACATCAAGATGGAGCTCATGATCGAGGTCGAGATCGGGGAAGCTCATGATCGAGATCGAGATCGATCCCCGATCTCGATCCTCTTCCAACGAAAACAAGAATCTTGATATCAAAAGCTCCTAGTCTTCAATCTCTTCAGCATGTTTGATGACAAAGTCATCGCCTTCAACCTCCCAAACTCCTCTTCCTGCATCAGGTCCAGCTATGGTCGCCTCATCCTCGCCGATGACCGCTTCCACCTCTCTCTCTTCGATCACTCCACAAACAATAGCCTCAAGCTACCTAAGATTGTCACCCTTCACGTCGTCACTCCCATCTTCGGCTTCCATGATAGAGGCCGTGCCGAGAAGTTTAACATGTCAAAACAGCTTTCTTGAATGGATATCTTGAAGAAGGTATTTACATACATTAACCAGAAGGTTATATATGTAAATGTCACGAAAGTATGGTTTGCAAATTGAATCGGTCAATTTATGGACTTAAACAGGCTTCAATGAGTTGGAATATTCATTTTGATGAAATGATTAAAGAATATGATTTTATTCAAAATTCTGAAGAAGCTTGTGTGTATGAGAAACAACAGAATAATTCCATTAAGTTCCTAGTACTTTATGTTGATGACATGCTACTTATTGGGGATGATGTAGGTATGATGATATCAGTTAAATTATGGCTTTCAAATAAGTTCTCTATGAAAGGTCTTGGTCAAGCATCCTATATTTTGGGTCTCAAACTCTATAAGAGAAAAGAGGCGTATAGGATTGTCACAGTCTACTTATGTGGATAAGATCCTCAGAAGATTCAACATGTAAGATTCCAAAAAAGGATTACTTCCTACTAGACATGGAATCTCACTCTCAAAGGAAATGTGTCCTAAATCTAAAGAGAAGATTAAGAGTTCTAGAAATATACCATATGCTTCGGTAGTTGGTAGTTTGATGTATGCTATGTTATGTACTAGACCTGACATAGCATGTGTTGTTGGCTTTGTAAGTAGATTTCAGTCCAATCCTAGTGAGGAATATTGGATTGTAGTGAAAGCTATATTTAAATATTTGTATAGAACTAAAGACTATTTTTAGTCTATGATGCAAATGACATGAGCATTGAATGATATACTGATTCTGATTTTCAATCTGATCCGGATGATAGAAAGTCTATATCTGGATATGTATATATAATCAATAATGGTGCTTTTAGTTAGAGAAGCGCTAAGCAAAATGTCACCGCTGATTTTACAACCGAAGCAAATTTGTAGCATCAAGTGAAGCTGCAAAAAGAAGGAGTATAGATAAATAAGTTTGTTAGTGAGCTTGGCATAATTCCTACTACTGTATTTCCTATTCCACTGTTCTGCGATAACAGTGGAGCTATTGCTCAAATTAAGCAACCAAGAGCTCATCAGAAGTCTAAGCACATTGAAAGGAAATATCATCTCGTTAGAGAGATTCATAACAGGAAAGATGTGGTGGTTCAAAAGATTGCTACAGTGACGCCCCTGGTTTCACACGAGGCTGCAGTCCAAGGTGAACCAAAAGATGTCAAACCTGTCATGCACCCAACACTATGCAACAACACGTTTTACCATCACAGTAATATTTCTCTAGTGGAATCAAATAAAAACAGTGCAGGTACAAGCAGATATAAGAAAGACAATCATACAATGAACATGATAAATGAAAGAGACATCATTAATATCTGAAATCATGTTCAAACAGTAGTATCAACAAGTCTCAACTGAAGAAAAAGATATATGTCCAATAATCTGAAATAAGAAGTAAATAATCTCAAGTGTAAGAATTAACTGAAAAGTACATAAGCTCTCAGCCTCCAAAATGAAATACAAGTCTAGAGATCATAACTAAATAACTGTGGAGCAAATCTACTACGAATAAATAACAACGACTATGCTGAAAGTTCGTCAGTCTGTGGCTCTCTGAAACTTTGATCTGCTGCCTAAAAAGAAGGAAAAACAACAACGTCAGAACGCTAGCAAGATCATCTCCATCCGCCCCCAGGAGATGAGCTACTAAGTATAATGGAGGCTCTACCTAATATGCATAGTCTACCTAATTC